TCTCCCTTTACCCTCCCTGTTTAGCCACTCACACCACTGGTCCTGTAGGGCTCATCCGTCCTGGATTCCCTGTATTTTCAGTTCCTAACGAGGAGGTTTTTAAAGGAAACCATTTCACATTGGGAGGATGTTGCACAGTGTGTGTGTGTGTGTGTGGGGGGGGGGGGTTGAAAGTGCCCCTTCAGGCACAGTTCCGCTCTGCCCAACAGGGTCTCCAGGAGTTGAAAACTCCATGGCGGTGGGTTCAATTTGGTTTGGTTTATGACCCTTGTAAACTACGAAACTCTTGTGTCTTTCGAATGTAAATCTTTGACTCATTACATTTTAGGAACTAGAACAAAACCCCTCACTTTCCCTGTAAGTATTTTTATACCTTCTCTACCTGCGTGTAGGGTTGTGATGAGTCAGAATCCACCTGACGGCAGTGAGGAGGAAAGTGAGTTACGCTTGCAAATATCCCATGTCGGAGGGATTGGTGGAGCAGATGCCATTCCGGTTATCATCACCAAGACCAAATACCACCATCACGTCGATGCCGACTCCTCGTCAGTGACTCATAGCGACCGTAACTTTACGGGAGTAGAAAGTGCGTTCTTTCTTCCATGGAGCTGCTGGTGGTTTCGAACTGCCAACCAGGCAGATTGCAGCCCAACATGTAACCACGATACCACCAGGGCTCCTGTCAGTTATTAGAGTGGGAAAACATTGCAGAGAGAGTGAGGTTTACTCTCACAGTAGATGCTAAGGTCAGGAGCTAGCCCTACTCTCTTGACCCCCAGCATCTGCATATTTTCTACCAGGTGATGTTATGTCCTAATTACAGATGAAATTTTAAAAAAAGACATGGATACAGAGATGGATATGTAGCCCCTCCTCGGGCCACATAAATCAAAGTTACTGAAGGTGGGGCCAGTTTTGGGAACCACTGCTCTCCCCCATTTTAAACACAAGCGAGCCTACGCCTGGTTGAATTACCATTCTTCCCACCTTGGGAGGCATTGTTTTTTTTTTTTGCCTAGGGTTGTTTGTGGTTGTGTAATGACTTTGATATTAAATGGATACTTGTGTACTATCGCCTAGGGTGACTGTCAGGATAAATAATATAGTACACGTATAAAACTAAAGTATATTGTTATTAGGTGCCATCAAGCCAGTTCTCATCCAGAGGGACCTTGTGTACAACAAAAGGGAACAATGCCTGGCCCGGCTCCATCCTCACCATTGTTGCTATATTCCTTAGTCACATCTTGTGCTGCCATAACGGATGCCACAAGTGGATGACTTTAACAAACAGAAATTCATTCTCTCGTGGTCCAGGAGGCGAGAAGTCTGAATTTAGGGCACTGAGTGCAGGGAAAGGCTTCCTCTGTCAGCGCTGGAGGAAATGTTTTGTCTTTCAGTGTCTGTGTCCCTAGCATTCCTTGGGGATCATCGCCATAGGTCTCAGCATCAATTTTCTCCAGGGTCTAGGAGGTTCCCAGCACAGGGACTTTGGGTCCAGAGGATGTGCTCTGCCCTTGGCTCCTCTTTCTTGGTGGTCCTTCTATTTCTGCTCATTGTTTTCTCCTTTTCTCTCTCATTAAGATAAAAAGTGATGCAGGCCACATCCCAGGAAACTCCCCTGGGACCCAATTAGTGTGTTATATCCCTGACGCTCATGGAAACAACACTCAAGAGATCAAACAATGCATTGCATTGGGTAGATCTGCACAAGACCTCTTTAAAGTGTTGAAAGGCAAGGAGTTTACTTTGAGAAGGAAAGTGGGTCTGACCCGAGCCATGGGATTCAATCACCTCATATGCGTGTGAAAGTTGGACACTGGAAAAGGAAGGCTGAAGAATACTTGATGCATCTGAAGTGTGGCGCTGGTGAAGAATATCGAAAGTACCATGGCCCGCCAAAAGAACAAACACATCTGTCTTAGAAGTACAGTCAGACCCAGATTGATGAACCTATTGAGACAGCAAGTAGAATAAAGAGTTCCTAGGGGGTATAGAGGGGAGGGAGGTAAAGGGGAACTGATATCAAGGAGTTCAAGGAGGAAGAGAATGTTGTAGCAATTGTACAATACTGCTTGATGTGATTGACCATTCAGAACGATATGATATCTGTCTTAGCTCCCCATAAAATGGTTTTGGAAAAATTCTTTAAAAGTACAATCAGATCGAAGGGATCAGGTGTAAGGCATCATCAGAACAAAAAATCTTACCATAGTGAATGATGGGGGGAGTGCGGAGTGGAGATCCAAAGCCCATTAGTAGGCCACTGGAGATCCCCTTGCAGAGGGGTCTCGGGGAGGAGATGAG